TTGTGATCTGCCCACTTCAGCCTCCCAAAGTGCTGGGATTATAGGTGTGGGCCACTGCACCCAGCCTTCTAGTTTATGAGACTAATATAATTCTGACACCAAAAGGTGGCAAAGGCAGTATAGAAAATTTAGAAGTTTCACTTACAAGCAGAGACACAAAAATTCCAAACAGTAAACATATGAAATTCAGGGGTTTACAATGATCAAGTAGGGATTATTTTAGAAATTCAGGGATAGTATTCAATAAGAAACCTATGGATTAATTCAATTATACTTATGGGTTAAAAACAGGTATGACATGTTGATAGATCCAAAAAAAGTATTTGACCACATTCAACATTCATCTCCAACAAAAACACAAAGTAGGCCGGGCACGGTGGCTCATACCTGTAATCCCAGCACTTTGGGAGGCTGAAGTGGGCAGTTCACGAGGTCAGGAGTTCAAGACCAGCCTGGCCAACACAGTGAAACTCCATCTCTACTAAAAATATGAAAAATTAGCTGGGCGTGTTGACAGGCACCTGTAATCCCAGCTACTCGGGAGGCTGAGGCAGGAGAATCACTTGAACGCGGGAGGCAGAGGTTGCAGTGAGTGAAGATTGCGCCATTGCACTCCAACCTGGGCAACAGAGTGAGACTCCATCTCAAAGAAAAGAAAAAACAAAACAATAACAACAAAACACAAAGTAAACTGGAGTGAAATACCACTCTCTAAACGTGAGACATAGCATCCCTCAGACATCGGCAGCAAACATGTATACGTTATGGTAACACACTATAGGCACTGTCATTCAAGATAGCACTAGACCAGAATGCTCACCGTGTCTATTAATTAATTAAAATCTCAATGGAGTTTTTATTCCGGAATTTGACAAAATGTTCAAGTTCATCTGGCAGAATGGATGGCCCAGAAATATTTGAAACAAAACTACAGTAGAGTAGGCAGGTACTTAACTACCAGAGTCTAGAATATACTATGTGGCTCCAGTCATTAAAATAATGTGCCACTGGCATAGGAACAGAGATTCAGATTTCCAACAGAAGAGTCCAGAAATAAACGAATGCATATTATGGATATTTCACATATGATAAAAGTGGAATTTCAAATTAGTAGAAAAAATACATTACATGATGATATTGCAAAAACTGGTTAACTATTTATAAAAGAAATTTAGATTCCTACTTCACACTATGCCAAAACAAATGGCAACAATGTGTAAAATTTACACATTTTTTACACATAAAGTGTGTAAAAAATTACCCAGGTGGAAGCAGGCCTTGGCCTAGCCCTCCAGGGTCCCAGACTGTGGAGACTGGAGGGGCAGGTCTGGCCTTTTCTGGGTCCGCACAGGGTACCCAGGTAGGAGTACAAGCTCACTATCCATTGGCCAGCCTAGTTCCAGCATTCAAGGAATACTGAGGAAGTATTCCCTGTCATCCACATTGGGCTTAACTGTTGCCACCAGGCTTCCAGCCAGTGGGACAAACTTCCCCGTGTTCGATCACGTACTGGAAGGCCGGGACCCACCGCAGAGCCTCATCCATGGAGCACCCCACAGGCAAATCAGTAGCAGTTATCTGGCAAAGGCCACCCTTGCCATCGATGATGAACAGGCAGGGTAGGAACACCCTCATGGGTTTTCAGCACACCGTAATCCTCAGACAAGCTTCCCATCATGTCAGCAGGCGGGAGATGCGTGGGGGCCCAGGGCTCCCTACTTCTGGGGGCTGTTGATCCAAGCCAGGTGGGTGAACTCAGTCCACCGAGACACCCAGCACTTCGCAGCCCAGCTTGCGGAAATCCTCGGCAAGGTCACTGAAAGCGATGTTCTCTGTGGGCCATAGAAAAGTGAAGTCCAGAGGGTACAAAAAGAGGACGACGTACTTCCCTTCGTAGCCCACAGCTTCACCTCCTGGAAGGCGCCATCCACCAGGGCAGTGGCCTTGAAGTCAGGGGCTGGCTCTCCGAGCTGCGACTGACCGGAGGCCATGACTGAAAGCTGTGGGGGTAAAGGCTGGACAGATGGACAAACACACGCGTGGACCCGCGTTTTGGCGCCCCACATTTGATTTTAAAAGTTAGGATAATCTTTAGATAGGGAAGGACCTTCACAGCACAATACCTTAGAAGGTATAAAGGAAACACCTGCTAAATCTGGTTGCCAAAAATAAAAAATGTACAGGGCACACCACCCCTGAGAAACCAGAAAAAAAAAAATTATAACAAATAATTCTGAAGAAAGGTCAATGTGCTTAGTCGTTAATAAAGAAGCAGAGAAAGAAAACTCAAAAATGGACCAAGTATGAAAAGATGATCACAAATGCTAAACCCCCAATGGCAAATAAAACACAAAAAAACTTGTAAATTCAAGATGATGAGTTGTTTTGTCCATGAGACTGAAAAAGACCAAGAATGTTTACCACATCCAGTGTCAGAAGGAAATGGGTTCTCCCACTCTGCTGGTGGGTGTATATAATGAAGACCTTTCTGGAGGCCGGTTTTACATTATCTAGCAAAATGTAGGCTGTATACTTTGACACAACCACCCCAAATTTATGCTAAGGAAATATATGGACAAGAGTACAGAGAACTTTAAGGATGTCTATAATATTGGTGGTTTTTTTTTTTTTTTTCCAGACAGAGTCTGGCTCTGTTGCCCAGACTGGAGTGCATTGTAGTGGCACGATTATAGCTCACTGCAGCCTTGATCTCCCAGGCTCAAGCAATCCTCCTGCCTCAGTCTCCAGAGTAGCTGGGATGACAGGCAGCACACCACCATGCCTGGCTAATTTTTTTTATTTTTAGTAGAGACAAGGTCTCACTATGTTGTCTGGGCTGGTCTCAAATTCCTGGGCTCCAGTGATCCCCCTACCTTGGCCTCCCGAAGTGTTGGAATTACAGGAGTGAGCCATGTGCCCAGCAATAATACTGTCACAATATGGAAACGATCTAAATTAATAAGGTACTGGTTACATAATGGTACATTAAAAAATGAAACACTACATAGTCATCTAAAATGGTTTATATCTCTTGTTATTGAGAACTGTATAGAACATACTGTTACATTTTTAAAAATTACAAAATGATGTGCTTAAAATAATCATAGTTTGGTTTCACAAAAAAAGAAACCCTCCAAACATCTCACTCTAAAATACACAAACATATACACACACACATGCATGCACACACCTTTATTCATGTGCTGGAAGGATGTATACCACAACGTAATCCTGAATTATCTGTCTCAGAGTAATGAGAATATGTGTGATGTTTAGTGTCTTTTCAAAAATACTTCTCTGAATTCAAAAAAAGATATTTTTCAACATGCAAAGACAAACTTTTTTTTTTTTTTTTTTAATAAAGGGAGGAGAGGTTACAAAAAAACATTGACCTGCACATGGAGGGATCAGGGAATCTTTAGGTTCATCAAACACAACACAGGAAAAAGGCTGGGAATTTTGCCAGACAGTGTAAAATAATATCTTTTTTTCTTGGCAGTGGCCCAGCCACAGCTGCAGATGCCCTGAAGAGGGGGTGGAAGTGAGGAATGGGTTAGGGTGCCTATTCCCCCTCACACATTTACGGTCCCTGCCACCAGGAGTTTAGGCCCTGGCTCTGGTTACCAGCTCCCATGCAGGAAGAAAGCCCATAAGAGGGCTGTCCTTCCCACCGAGCACTCCACACCTTACTGGTTACTCTCATTAGTGCCATTTTATCAACCTGACTTCCCAAATCTCTCCTGACTCTATCTTCCTACTCCCCATCCAGCCTTGCAGGACTTCTAGACTAGACTCAAGGCTTTTTTTTTGAGACAGAGTCTTGCTCTGTCGCCCAGGCTAGAGTGCAGTGGTGTGATCTCGGCTCACTGCAAGCTCTACCTCCAGGGTTCACGCCATTCTCCTGCCTCAGCCTCCCGAGTAGCCAGGAATACAGGTGCCCACCACCACGCCCGGCTAGTTTTTTGTATTTTTAGTAGAGACGGGGTTTCACCGTGTTAGCCAGGATGGTCTCGATCTCCTGGCCTCGTCATCCAACCGCCTTGGCCTCCCAAAATTGCTGGGATTACAGGTGTGAGCCACCGCGACCGACCTCAAGTCTTTTGCTGTATCTATTCCTGGCCACTTCTAACTCATAATCTGAGTGGCTGCTAGATTGAGCTTTCTCAAACCCAGGCATGATCATTTCAGTGTACTTCTTAAAAACCTCCAACAGCTTCCCAAAGCTCAGGATAAAGGGGGATAACAGCTATACCCTTCAGGCCGGGCGCGGTGGCTCACACCTGTAATCCCAGCACTTTGGGAGGCCGAGGTGGGCGGATCACAAGGTCAGGAGATTGAGACCATCCTGGCTAACACGGTGAAATGCCATCTCTACTAAAAAAAAACAAACAAAACAAAAAACAACAACAACAACAACAAAAATAAATTAGTCAGGCGTGGTGGCGGGCGCCTGTAGTCCCAGCTACTTGTGAGGCTGAAGCAGGAGAATGGCGCCAACCCAGGAGGCGGAGCTTGCAGTGAGCTGAGATCGCGCCACTGCACTCCAGCTACACCCTTCAGCACAGCACCCATGGCCTCACAACCAGGCCTAGCCTCCACTTTCACCTCAGCCATGGAGCATCCTCTGCTTCAGCCACAGAGAGCTGTCTGCCTGTTGCCACACCTGCCAAGTTTTCCAAGTGGACCCCTGGCTATGCAACTTCTTCACCCTTCCGAGACCTTCCCCGCTGCTTCCCCACCTGCCCCTGGCCGGTCCTCTACCAGCCGGCTCTTTGCCATCTGCCCTTCTTTGGGTTCAGTACCTGCCTGCAGATCCTACATAAAGTCCCTGGGCTAATGAAAGTGTTCCGTCTAGAGCCAAAATTCCATTTTACCTGAGAATCCAAGTCTTCTCCTTTTAAGCAGAGATTGGCATCGAGAACATTGAGTCCCACCAGCAGACCGACAATCACCATCCCTTCTTCCTCCATCATTAAAGCCTCAGGCTCATAGAACTCGCTACAAGAGATGGACAGGACAGCGGGATGCTCAGAAACAGCTTCACCATCCCCACTCCTTCCCCACCCTGAACTGCCTTTTCAACTGTGCCCTGGAGCCAGAAGATACTGCTGTGGATTTCCTCCCTCCCTTTCATTTCCCTTCACTGCTTCAACAGCTGCTTTTTCTCCCATCCTCTCTTCTCTTCCTGTGGCTTAGAATGGGCTCGCCCGTCCTCCTGTCTAAAGTGAACTCCTCCATGCAGACCCTGGACCCCGGTTCTCCTCATCTCCTCTTGACTCCTGTCACTCTCCCCTCCTGTGTCTCCACTGGCTCCTCGTCTGTGTTGATATGAACTACTTCTCCACTTATGCCCATATAAACAGGAAATGGGATCCCACATCCAAGCGTAACACTCCTCCTTCTTGTGTCCCACGGAGGAACATCTGCTGCTTTACTTCCTTGTTGACCAGTCATCGTGACCATTTGCGAGGGGGGGTCCAGCCCCTGCCTGATACTGCTCTGGTCAGCAATGACTTGCTCAGGTACCAAATCCAGTGGCATCCAGGCCACTGTGTGTATGCGTAAGAACTTTTCTCTTAAGAATTAGTTCATTAGTAAAGTGAGGAATATGGTAATCACCCTGATTTGATCATTATGTAGTGTATACATGCACACAGTATCCCACAAATATGTATAATTTTGTATCGATTATAAATAAAAAAATTAATTGAAAAAGAATTAGTTCATTAGAACAAAATCTGTAATTCAAACTTACTCAGTGTAACTGTACTCAGAGTACGTGAAATATTGTAAATCAGTATTTGTCGTGTAAAGCTAAGTTCAATAATGAGCCATGCCTTGAAAACACTGAAAAGCTTGGGTTTTAGGCTATGCTGTAAAATATGTTTCTCAATTACAAGAGAGCTTTAACTCTGGAAAGAGTGCTCCCTCGTAAATCACCATAGTCTAGAGAAAATTCCTTTTATAATGATGTTTGCTTAGTTATAAATATCAAAAATGAACCAGTCGTAAATTTCCATAAATATTATATACTTATTTTATTTTTTTATTTTGAGACAGAGTCTCGCTCTGTTGCCCAGGCTGGAGGTACAGTGGTGTGATATTGGCTCACTGCAACCTCTGCTTCCTGGGTTCAAGCAATCCCCCTGCCTCAGCCTCCCGAATAGCTGGGATTATAGGCGTATGCCACCACGCCCAGCTAATTTCGGATTTTTAGCAGAGATGGGATTTTACCATGTTATCCAGGTTGTTTTTGAACTTCTGACCTCAAGTGATTAGCCTGCCTTGGCCTCCCAAAGTGCTGGGATTACAGGCATGAGCCACCACACTTGGCTGATACACTTATTTTAATTCAAAATGATCTACAGAACTATGTTCTAATTATTATTTTTTTGAGGAGGAATCTCACTCTGTCACCCAGGCTGGAGTACAATGGCGCAATCTTGGCTCATTGCAAATTCCGCCTCCCAGGTTCACGTGATTCTCCTGCCTCAGCCTCCCGAGTAGCTGGGATTATAGGCATGCATCACTACGCCCAGCTAATTTTTTGTATTTTTAGTAGAGACACAGTTTCACCATGTTGGCCAGGCTGGTCTTGAACTCCTGACCTTGTGATCTGCCCACCTCGGCTTCCCAAAGTGCTGGGTTTACAGGCGTGATCCACTGCGCTCGGCCTATTATTATTTATTTTTAGATGGAGTCTTCCTCTGTCGTCCAGGCTGGAGCGCAGTGGCACGATGTTGGCTGTCTGCAACCTCCACCTCCTGGGTTCAAGCG